CCTGCTTAACCTGGAAGCCAGCCGCACCAATGTGCACCGCCCTATGGGACTCCCGATCACGACCTGTGATACAGCCCGGGATCGAACCCGGGTCTGTAGTGACGCCTCTAGCTTTGCGATGCAGTTCCTTAGATCGCTGCGCCACTCGGGAGGCCCTGAGAAGGTTATGTTTAAATTGGTTTTGAGTTACTAAAACTTTGTTTAGATGTTGTTTTTATCATAATTTTTTTTTTTTTAATAATGTTGAAAATGAAGGGAAAGCTGTATGTTTAGATGTTATTTTTGTTTGTGAAAAAAAAATGAAATGATAAATGTTTGTCAACGTCTGGGTGAAACGGAATCAGGCGCAGGACACAGAACTGAGAAAATAAATGGATTTACTAAACCATAACAAACCCTCCACGCAGGGAAGAGCAGAACAACAGCTCACCACACGACGTAAAACAACGGACAATCACGCACAAACCCAGGAGGGAAAACAGAGGTAATTATAGGGACACAAATAAGCATAATGGGTAACAGGTGTGATTAATAAAGACAAGACTAGTGTAACACAGAAACATCGATCGGTAGCAGCTAGTACTCCGGTGACGACGAACCCCGAAGCCTGCCCGAGCAAGGAGGAGGGGCAGCCTCGGCTGTATTCGTGACAGTACCCCCCGACACCGGCCTCGGGGACGGCCAGGAGGACGAGGAGCAGGGCGAGTCGGATGACGACGATGGAACTCCCTTAACAAGGAGGGATCGAGGATGTCCCTCCTTGGAACCCAGCTCCGTTCCTCCGGACCGTACCCCTCCCACTCCACGAGATACTGCAGGCCTCCCACCCGACGCCTCGAATCCAGAATGGAACGGACCGAGTACGCCGGTGCCCCCTCGATGTCCAATGGGGGCGGAGGAACCTCCCGCACCTCAGACTCCTGGAGCGGACCAGCTACTACCGGCCTGAGGAGAGACACATGGAACGAGGGGTTAATACGGTAATCAGGGGGGAGTTGTAACCTATAACAAACCTTGTTCAACCTCCTCAGGACTTTAAAGGGCCCCACAAACCGCCAACCCAGCTTCCGGCAGGGCAGGCGAAGGGGCAGGTTTCGGGTCGAGAGCCAGACCCGGTCCCCCGGTGCATACACCGGGGCCTCACTGCGGTGGCGGTCGGTGCTCGCCTTCTGTCTCCTAATAGCCCTTTGCAGGCGTACATGGGCAGCGTTCCATGTCTCCTCCGAGCGCCGAAACCATTCATCCACCGCAGGTGCCTCGATCTGGCTCTGATGCCATGGTGCCAGGACCGGCTGGTAACCTAGTACACACTGAAAGGGAGACAGGTCAGTGGAGGAGTGGCGGAGGGAAATTTGTGCCATCTCTGCCCAGGGGATGTAAACTGACCAATCCCCCTGCCGGTACTGGCAATACGACCTCAGAAACCTACCCACATCCTGGTTTACTCTCTCCACCTGCCCACTACTCTTGGGGTGAAACCCTGAGGTCAGGCTGACCGAGACCCCCAGATGGTCCATGAACGCCTTCCAGACCCTTGATGTAAACTGGGGACCCCGATCAGACACTATATCCTCAGGTACCCCGTAGTGCCGGAAGACGTGTGTAAACAGGGCCTCCGCAGTCTGTAGGGCAGTAGGGAGACCGGGCAAAGGAATGAGACGACAGGACTTAGAAAACCGATCCACAACGACCAGGATTGTGGTGTTACCTTGTGACGGAGGAAGATCCGTAACAAAGTCCACCGATAGGTGTGACCACGGCCGTTGCGGAACGGGGAGAGGTTGTAATTTCCCTCTGGGCAGGTGTCTAGGTGCCTTGCACTGGGTGCACACCGAGCAAGAGGAAACAAACTCTCACGTCCTTGGCTAAAATGGGCCACCAGTACTTCCCACTAAGACAGTTCACTGTCCGACCGATGCCAGGATGACCAGAGGAGGGTGACGTGTGAGCCCAATAGATCAATCGATCGCGAACCTCAGACGGAACGTAGACACGACACACTGGACAGGAGTGGGCTCCGTGCGTAACGCCCGCTCGATGTCCGCGTCAACCTCCCATAACACCGGTGCCACCAGACAAGAAGCCGGAAGTATGGGAGTGGGCTCCCTGGTCCGCTCCTCTGAGTCATACTGCCGGGACAGAGCGTCTGCCTTAGCATTCTGGGAACCTGGTCTGTACGATAGCGTGAACACAAAAATGCGTGAAAAACATGGCCCACCTTGCCTGACGAGGGTTCAGTCTCCTCGCTTGCCCGTATGTACTCCAGATTGCGGTGGTCAGTCAAAATGAGAATAGGGTGTCTAGCCCCCTCTAGCCAATGTCTCCAGACCTTAAGAGCTTTCACAACAGCTAACAGCTCCCGGTCCCCCACATCATAGTTTTGCTCCGCCAGGCTGAGCTTCTTCGAAAAGAAAGCACAGGGGCGGAGTTTGGGAGGCGTACCCGAGCGCTGAGACAGTACAGCTCCTATCCCAGCCTCGGACGCGTCCACCTCGACTGTGAATTGCAAGGAAGGATCCGGATGAGCCAGCACGGGAGCCGAGGTGAACAGCGCCTTCAGCTGACCAAAAGCCCTGTCGAGTGCTGCTGGATGCGTTCCTCCACCGAGGCGCTGGGATTGGACGTGCCTGCTGACTCCATAGGTGGTGCGTGATTCTGTCAACGTCTGGTTGAAGTGGTGAAATGGAATCAGGCGCAGAACACAGAACAGAGAAAATGAATGGATTTACTAAACAAAAGTAAACCATAACAAACCCTCCACGCAGGGAAGAGCAGAACAACAGCTCACCACACGACGTAAAACAACGGACAATCACGCACAAACCCAGGAGGGAAAACAGAGGTAATTATAGGGACACAAATAAGCATAATGGGTAACAGGTGTGATTAATAAAGACAAGACTAGTGTAACACAGAAACATCGATCGGTAGCAGCTAGTACTCCGGTGACGACGAACGCCGAAGCCTGCCCGAGCAAGAAGGAGGGGCAGCCTCGGCTGTATTCGTGTGCTGGATTTTTTCAGGGAGAATGTGTCCAATGATCAGACAGATGGAAGGACGATATGGCTGACAGAGGATAAAGCCTATTGCACTGGATGCCTGGAGAAATATGAAAATCCCTGAGAACCACCGATAGAAAGGTGCTCTGATGACTCGCTAACACGGAGACCTGTCAACATGGTAGAACAGGCTACAGGTGGACAGTTTCATCCTAGGAAAAGCTAGTGATGGTCAGAAGTTTCCCATCTACATCCCTCTCTTCACACACACACACACACCACACACACACACACACACAGATGCTCTCACACACAGACCGATGAACACACACACATACCCTTTCCAGGCAGTTCGTAGATCCGACACAACTTTGACCCTGATCAACAGAGTTTGGGCAGTGTATTTGTGACACCAAACGGTGAGGTGAAGGAATTTCTGGACTCAGAACAACACAACACTGATGATATGAAGTGGCTTTAAGACCATTATAGCCACTAGAGCACACTGACAACCCTATAACTAGGCTACACAATAGATAACCTGGGCCTGTGCCGGAGAATGTAACATTACAGAACGTTGTGTTCCTGAGTGGCGCAGTGGTCTAAGGCACTGCCACTAGAGATCCTGGTTCGAATCCAGGCTCTGTCGCAGCCGGCCGCGACCGGGAGACTCATGGGCGGCGCACAATTCGTCCAGGGTAGGGGAGGGAATGGCCGGCAGGGATGTAGCTCAGTTGATAGAGCATGGCGTTTGCAAAGCTAGGGTTGTGGGTTTGATTCCCACGGGGGGCCAGTATAAAAAAAATATGTATTCACTAACTGTAAGTCGCTCTGGATAAGAGCGTCTGCTAAATGACTAAAATGTAAATGTAAATGTTCAAATAGAAATGCAGTGTAGAACAGAAATATTTGTTTGTCAGATAGGAAATTGTGTAAATTCTATCCATTCTATTTCTATCTGAAAAGTTCAGAACGTTTCATGTCACTGAATACAACCAGGCTTTGCAGCAGTCTGAAACCACTGGAGACGGGGGGAAGGTGCCATCACCATCCCATGGTCATGTTGTTGAACCTTCATGTTTTTACTTACAGGTCACTTGCACTGTAGTAACGGGGTTTGTATTGTTTTTAATGTATTTATGTTGGGAATGACGCTTCACTAAAAGCCAATTTATGCTTGAACTGTGAATGGAGCCTATGGAGGCATGCAGAGGCCAAATTGTGCTCCATGCCATGTGCCTCTCAAATTTTGTAACAATCATTGACATGATTAGTTAAAGTTGGTGAGGGCGGGAGGTCCTGTATAAACACAAACTCACTTCCTTCACAACATCTCTGCAAAAAGTATGTTTGCTGTGACTTCTGCAGAGGCCGCATCTCGGTAAATGCTGTATGGCCAATGCAGATGTCGCATTGACCATGCAGCGCCTTTAATGATCTGTCCAGAGGTAGCAGAAGCCACCGCAGCTATTTTGGAATGCAAGTGTATTTTTTGATACTGTATAGGGTGTAGCAAAAGTTAGCCAAAGAGCCATTTATGCATAATGCAGTTGATTTGCGATGATGACACAAACATTATATTAAGCAGGACTTTAATACGAGCCTTAAATTCCAATTATAATCCAAAAGTAGTGTAAAATGCACTCATAAGCAACATGTAAATATAATATTTTTTTGCTGGCGTTCTACAAGAACTCCCCCTTGTTCTGCCACCAAGTTGCGCGCATCGCCCTCGTGCACCAATATTCGCAAACAGGAAGGAGTCTATTGGTCCGCGCAGGTTCCAAAAACACGCGAGAACTCGGCGCCATTTTGAGAAGTCAGCGAGAGTTGTGGGAATATTTGTAAATTAGCTAGCTAACTTTGTGTGCGCCGTTGTCGATTGATTCAGATATAGATAGCTTGATATTTATACAACAGACATTTGTTATATAACGTTAAACGACTTTTCTAAAGTTAGCTTGCTAGTTTAGTAGTAATCTTCGGATGTCGGGGGATAATATGTCGGGAGGCGGGAGCGTGGTTCGTGGGCCAGCGGGAAACAACGACTGTCGGATCTACGTCGGTAACCTGCCGCCTGATATCCGAACTAAAGACGTGGAGGATGTGTTCTATAAGTACGGAGCGATCCGGGATATCGACCTGAAGAACCGGAGAGGAGGACCGCCGTTCGCTTTCGTGGAATTCGAGGACCCCAGGTAACTAGCTAGTTAACTATGCTAAAAAAAAGCTGTAGCTAACGTTAGCCGCTTTTAGAACCTAGCGGTAAAGAGCGTTGGGCCAGTAACCGAAAGGTTAGTTAATAATAATAATATAATAATAACATGCCATTTAGCAGACGCTTTTATCCAAAGCGACTTACAGTCATGCGTGTATACATTTTTTGTGTATGGGTGGTCCCGGGGATCGAACCCACTACCTTGGCGTTACAAGCGCCGTGCTCTACCAGCTGAGCTACAGAGGACCTCCTGTGAGTCGCTAAATGACTAAAATGTCAAAGTAAACCGCCTTAGTTAGCTTCCTCCCACAACAAGGGGTTATGTATCAGCCCATGCAATGTCCTAACAGAACATAAACATACTGTATGTTGGGACATTGCATTGGGCAGTGTTACGAACCCCGTGGCTCTAAACGTCTAGGGTGGATGGACATGAGACCCGTAACATAAATTATGCAAATTAGGAGTGTGGCATGGAGCAGTGAGAACAAATGTGACACAACAACCATGAACTACCGTCAAACACACATGGTTTATTTCAGAACACACGGTAAGGGTTTGGGAAAAAGGGCTGAGCAGGACCCAAGAAATGAAACAATAGTGTAAAACCCCCTAAACTGATCTAGCCTGCCTGAAGAACCGCTAGGCTACTGCTAGTCATACAAAAGTACAGTGGGTGGTCCGCTCAGGTCTAACTAGTGTTTTTAGACAGATTTCTTCCTACGGGTAATGTACGCCCAAGGGCAACTAGCTTAAACTCCCCTTTTCCCAGAAACACACAAAGCTACCAAACAGGGTAATCAGCAAGTAAGTAGTACACAATACACAGGACACCACAGTATCCGCACTCACATAACAAAACAGTAGTCTAACAGAATTTACCAATCATAATAAACAGCAACTTAGTGAGTAACCAAAAACAGGACACCACCGTGTCCATACTCACAAACGGAAATATTCTCTCTCTCTCTCAACAAACACAAGACTGGTTTTTTATACAATGGGCTGTGTGATTGAACAAACGAGTAACAGGTGGTGCAATGCACAGGAATGTTCACTGATTGGTCCGATCAGCAGACACCTCAACGACCACCAATCAGGAACATACAGGACACCTGTGATTAGGGCAGAAGGAGAGAAACACACAAAAACACAGGATACCTGTATCCGTAACAGGCAGACACAGAAAACGATCAGACTAGCTGACCTAACTCAACTCCACAATGGACTTTTACCATCGTAAATCGTTGAGTTTAGTCGGCTAGTATCAGCCCAAATGTCCCAACAGAATCCCTTGTTACGGAACGAAGCTAGAACAGCCCCAGAAAGAGTTGGGTAACTTAGCTTTAGCGATATAGCTAGCTCGCTACCTCGTGTTATGTTTGAGACTGAGGTGGAGATGAGCTATGGTCAAGCGCCAAGGTATTGGTTAGGCCCGTTTCAGAACTAGTTTTCCAGACTGATATAACTGACGGACAAATCCAGCCAGAGTTCCTTGCTTCCTTGTCATACGTGTTGCTCAATTGTAGTAGGTACCAATCTATCTGCTTTCGTTTTCGAGATGATTGATATCTATCGAGGGAGGAACAGGTTTTTACATATTGTGTATAGTTATTTCTTCTGAACACTTCCGTTTGTTGGCAATGTCAAGTCTTGCACATTTTTTCAAAATAGTTTTATGTTTGCTAGCTGGCCAGGCAAACGCCGCGGAGTACTAAACTGTAAACCAATCAAAACTTGTGTACTATGCATGGTACTATCTCTGCTGATCATGTCTGCCAATCAAATCAAATGTTATTGGCCACACGCGCCGAATACAACAGGTGCAGACATTACAGTGAAATGCTTACTTACAGCCCTTAACCAACAGTGCATTTATTTTTAATAAAAAAGTAGAATAAAACAACAACAAAAAAGTTATGAGAAAAAAAGAGCAGAAGTAAAATAAAATAACAGTAGGGAGGCTTTATATACAGGGGGGTACCGGTGCAGAGTCAATGTGTGGGGGCACCTGCTAGTAGAGGTAGTTGAAGTAATATGTACATGTGGGTAGAGTTAGTGACTATGCATAAATAATTAACAGAGTAGCAGCAGCGTAAAAAGATGGGGTGGGGGGGCAGTGCAAATAGTCCGGGTAGCCATGATTAGCTGTTCAGGAGTCTTATGGCTTGGGGTAGAAGCTGTTGAGAAGTCTTTTGGACCTAGACTTGGCACTCCGGTACCGCTTGCCGTGCGGTAGCAGAGAGAACAGTCTATGACTAGGGTGACTGGAGTCTTTGACAATTTTGAGGGCCTTCCTCTGACACCGCCTGGTATAAAGGTCCTGGATGGCAGGAAGCTTGGCCACAGTGATGTACTGGGCCGTACGCACTACCCTCTGTAGTGCCTTGCGGTCGGAGGCCAAGCAGTTGCCATACCAGGCGGTGATGCAACCAGTCAGGATGCTCTCAATGGTGCAGCTGTAGAATTTTTTGAGGATCTGAGGACCCATGCCAAATCTTTTTAGTCTCCTGAGGGGGAATAGGCTTTGTCGTGCCCTCTTCACGACTGTCTTGGTGTGTTTGGACCATGATAGTTATGTAGAACTGATTTAAGTATCCCTGCATTAAAGTCCCCGGCCAGCGCTGCCTCTGGATGAGCGTTTTCCTGTTTACTTATGGCCTTATACAGCTCATTCAGTGCAATCTTAATGCCAGCATCGGTTTGTGGTGGTAAATAGACAGCTATGAAAAATATAGCTGAAAACTCTCTTGGTAAATAGTGTGGTCTACAGCTTATCATGAGATACTCTACCTCCGGCGAGCAAAACCTCGAGACTTCCTTAGTATTTGATTTTGTGCACCAGCTGTTGTTTACAAATATACACAGACCGCCACCCCTTGTCTTACCGGAGTCAGCCGTTCTATTCTGCCGATGTAGCGTATAGCCCGCTAGCTGTATGTTGTCCATGTCGTCGTTCAGCCACGACTCGGTGAAACATAATATATTACAGTTTTTAATGTCCCGTTGGTAGGATAACCGTAATCTTAGGTCATCCAATTTATTCTCAAATGATTGAAGATTGGCTAATAGGATTGATGGGAGCGGCAGTTTACGGCCACGATATCTCAGTCTCTTTATCATGCGAATGACCGGGATTTGGGCCTTGTCGGGTGTCTGTATGATATCCTTCGCGGCCGACTCGTTGAAGAAAAAATCTTCGTCCAATACGAGGTGAGTAATCACTGTCCTGATATCCAGATGCTCTTTTTGGTTATAAGAGACGATGGCAGAAACATTATGTACAAAATAAATTACAAATAACGCGGAAAAACACACATAATAGTACAATTGGTTAGAGGGCTGTAAAACGGCAGCCATCTTCTCCGGCGCCATGAATTGTGGTCCATCACTTTATCCGTATCTAAAGTAGTACACAGCTGGTGAAAAACTGCTATCAGGTAAAGTATTTATTTATTAGTGATCTTAGCTATTTAGTTATAGAAACGTGATACCATCAATGCAAGCTGTAAAATGACTCCCAGCTTAGAACACAGCAACCGTAGTAATGTAGCTAGCTTGCTAGTTGGCTAGCTAGTGACAAGTAGATTGTTGCCAGCTAGCAGGAGCAGATAGCTTTATCACTAGCTAGCATGTCATTCTGGGACAAGGAGCGTTTTAGCTATTAGTTTATTCCAAGGAATAATTGAAGACTACAAAAGTCTATAGGACAAGTAGTGTAAATCTTATAGTCATCAAGGCTGGACCCACTAATTTCATTCATACTGACAAATATGAAATGCCATCTTATCCCTGTCAGTAGTAGGAGTAGGATGACTGCAGAGTAGGATGATTGCGGAGTTGGATGATTGCGGAGTAGGATGATTGCGGAGTAGGATGATTGCGGAGTAGGATGATTGCGGAGTAGGATGATTGCGGAGTAGGATGATTGCGGAGTAGGATGACTGCGGAGTAGGATGACTGCAGAGTAGGATGATTGCAGAGTAGGATGATTGCAGAGTACCCTGCCTCAGACTGTCAGGATGTTCATTCTCTAGCTCACAAACTACATTCCTTTGCTGCGATGATTTATTTTATTAATTATTGTGTTTCACTTTTGTCTCGCATGATCTATTCAGCTCTCCTGTGTCCTGCTGTCAGAGATCAACCAAGTGCTATTTACCAAGCATGGGCTGACTCACTCACCTATCAGGAGAACCATCCTCCTGCAGTTTGAACTAGCCCTGCCGTTACTGTTTAGACATTAGGACCTGTTGTCTTTTCTCTGTGGCTTACAGTCTAGTGCGTTTTAGTTGAACACCCGCTACAGATGCTCTTGCTTTTTTGAGCATCTCAAAGGTGATAGACAAGTTATTTTACTATTGTAGCATGCAGTGGTGAGAATCCTATTGTCCCCGTCAGGAGCCCAGGCTTTTGCCATTGATGGTAGAATTCTGGTCTCTGGGCCACTCAAGCTTTAGATTGCATTCTGCTGAGGCACTTGTCTCTCTCTCCATCAGTCAGCTACATTGGTGACCAGGGTGGGATCATTTCGATACACCATTGGTGATTAGGGTGGGATCCTTTCCATACACCATTGGTGACCAGGGTGGGATCCTTTCCATACACCATTGGTGACCAGGGTGGGATCCTTTCCATACACCATTGGTGACCAGGGTGGGATCCTTTCGATACACCATTGGTGACCAGGGTGGGATCCTTTCCATACACCATTGGTGACCAGGGTGGGATCCTTTCCATACACCATTGGTGACCAGGGTGGGATCCTTTCGATACACCATTGGTGACCAGGGTGGGATCCTTTCCATACACCATTGGGACCTGGGCACACATGCCCCTAGAGAGAAGGGGGAATACTGAAGCATGCGTTGATGACAGTTCTACAGTCTCCATCAGAGGCCCAGGCTTTTGGCATAGATGGTAAAGCTCTCATATCTGGACTGCAACATTGTAAGATTGTGCCCTCCATGGCACTTGATATACATTGATTGATAGGTTACACTATTTAGATACTTCTAAGACACCTTTTGCTATTTGTCTCTGTACTCAATAAATAGTGAAACACTGTTTGTGATGGTGTTCTTTGTTTGAATGTATATGCATGAAACGTACATTATGGAAAACATGTCTCACACTCAGTCAGTATAATAAAGCTAGTTAGTTAGTAATGAATGGATTGGGACAAGGGAATCCCGGCTGGCCAAACCCTCCCCTAACCCGGACGACACTGGGCCAATCCCGGTCGCGACACAGCCTGGGATCGAACCAGAGTCTGTAGTGACGCCACTAGCACTGCGATGCAGTGCCTTAGACAGCTGCACCACTCGGGAGGCAGCCTGGGATCGAACCTGAGTCTGTAGTGACGCCACTAGCACTCCGATGCAGTGCCTTAGACAGCTGCACCACTCTGGAGGCAGCCTGGGATCGAACCTGAGTCTGTAGTGACGCCGCTAGCACTGCGATGCAGTGCCTTAGACAGCTGCACCACTCTGGAGGCAGCCTCCATCATTCTGAAATGGAAGCAGTTTGGAACCACCAAGACTCTTCCTAGAGCTGGCCGCCCGGCCAAACTGAGCAATCGGGGGAGAAGGGCCTTGGTCAGGGAGGTGACCAAGAACCCGATGGTCACTCTGACAGAGTTCCTCTGTGGAGATGGGAGAACCTTCCAGAAGGACAACCATCTCTGCAGCCCTCCGCCAATCAGGCCTTTATGGTAGAGTGACCATACGGAAGCCACTCCTCAGTAAAAAGGCACATGACAGCCCGCTTGGAGTTTGCCAAAAGGCACCTAAAGGACTCTGACCATGAGAAACAAGATTCTCTGGTCTGATGAAACCAAGATTGAACTCTTTGGCCTGAATGCCAAGCGTCACGTCTGGAGGAAACCTGGTACCATCCCTACGGTGAAGCATGGTGGTGGCAGCATCATGCTGTGGGGATGTTTTTCAGCGACAGGGACTGGGAGACTAGTCAGGATCGAGGGAAAGATGAACGGAGCAAAGTACAGAGAGATCCTTGATGAAAACCTGCTCCAGAGCGCTCAGGACCTCAGACTGGGGTGAAGGTTCACCTTCCAGCAGGACAACGACCCTAAGCACACAGCCAGACAATGCAGGACTGGCTTCGGGACAAGTCTCAATGTGCTTGAGTGGCCCAGCCAGAGCCCGGACTTGAACCCGATCAAACATTTTACATTTTAGTCATATAGCAGACGCTCTTATCCAGAGCGACTTACAGTTAGTGAGTGTGTACATTTTTCATACTGGCCCCCCGTGGGAATCGAACCCACAACCCTGGAGTTGCGAGCTCTATGCTCTACCAACTGAGCCACATGAATGATGGAGGCCACTGTGTTCTTGGGGACCTTCAATGCTGCAGACATTTTTTGGTACCCTTCCCCAGATCTGTGCCTCGACACAATCCTGTCTCAGAGCTCTACAGACAATTCCTTCGACCTCATGGCTAGGTTTTTGCTCTGACATGCACTGTCAACTGTGGGACCTTATATAGACAGGTGTGTGCCTTTTTCAAGTCATGCCCAATCAATTTAATTTACCACAGGTGGACTCCAATGAAGCTGTAGAAACATCTCAAGGATGATCAATGGAAACAGGATGCATCTGAGCTCAATTTTGAGTCTCATAGCAAAGGGTCTGAATATTTATGTAAATAAGGTATCTGTTTTATATTTTTAAGTTAGCAAACATTTCGAAAATGTTTTTGCTTTGTCATTATGGGGTATTGTGTGTATTATGATTTTGAACATTTTTGATTAAATCCATTTTAGGAAAAGGCTGTTACGTAACAATGTGGAAAAAGGGAAGGGGTCTGAATACTTCCTGAATGCCCTTTCATTTGGGGTTCTATGCAGCTAGTTACTTGAAATGATATAATGATGCCAAAACATGATTCAACAGTTGAATTCACTGACAGAGATTGAAGGTGCAAACAAATGTTATAGTCATCATAAGAATGTTTTACGATCATATACAAAAAAATCAGCTCCTCCCTCGACGGGGCATCGGCCCACCACCTACTGGTCCGGTCGACAGAGAGACTGGTGGTGAACTGGTCTTACCACCTACTGGTCCGGTCGACAGAGAGACTGGTGGTGAACTGGTCTTACCACCTACTGGTCCGGTCGACAGAGAGACTGGTGGTGAACTGGTCTTACCACCTACTGGTCCGGTCGACAGAGAGACTGGTGGTGAACTGGTCTTACCACCTACTGGTCCGGTCGACAGAGAGACTGGTGGTGAACTGGTCTTACCACCTACTGGTCCGGTCGACAGAGAGACTGGTGGTGAACTGGTCTTACCACCTACTGGTCCGGTCGACAGAGAGACTGGTGGTGAACTGGTCTTACCACCTACTGGTCCGGTCGACAGAGAGACTGGTGGTGAACTGGTCTTACCACCTACTGGTCCGGTCGACAGAGAGACTGGTGGTGAACTGGTCTTACCACCTACTGGTCCGGTCGACAGAGAGACTGGTGGTGAACTGGTCTTACCACCTACTGGTCCGGTCGACAGAGAGACCGGTGGTGAACTGGTCCTGCAACAGTTGCGTAAAGCAGAAGAACACTGCTGCTCATGACGGCGGAGGTCCCAGAGGAAGATATGGACCTCCATCACGACGCTCTGAGTACCGGGTCATCGTCTCCGGTCAGTGTTTGGCTTAGCTCCGTGTTTGTGTCTGGTCCGACTGTCTGGTTCGACTGTGGTGTGTCTGTATGGTCCAAATGTCTACCACCTCCTCCCTCTCCAGGTCTCCTCCTGTCTTTACTGTGTTACCCCTCCTCCTCCTCCTCTTCCTCCCTCTCCAGGTCTCCTCCTGTCTTTACTGTGTTACCCCCTCCTCCTCCTCCTCTTCCTCCCTCTCCAGGTCTCCTCCTGTCTTTACTGTGTTACCCCTCCTCCTCCTCCTCTTCCTCCCTCTCCAGGTCTCCTCCTGTCTTTACTGTTTTCCCTCCTCCTCCTCTCCTCCTCTCCAGGTCTCCTCCTGTCTTTACTGTGTTACCCCTCCTCCTCCTCCTCTTCCTCCCTCTCCAGGTCTCCTCCTGTCTTTACTGTGTTACCCCTCTCCTCCTCTTCCTCCCTCTCCAGGTCTCCTCCTGTCTTTACTGTGTTACCCCTCCTCCTCCTCCTCCCTTCCTCCCTCTCCAGGTCTCCTCCTGTCTTTACTGTGTACCCCTCCTCCTCCTCCTCCTCTTCCTCCCTCTCCAGGTCTCCTCCTGTCTTTACTGTGTTACCCCCTCCCCTCTCCTCTTCCTCCCTCTCCAAAGGGTTTCCCCTGTCTTTACTTTTGTTACCCCTCCCCCTCCTCCTTTTTTCCTCCTTCTCCAGTCTCCTCCTGTCTTTACTGTGTTACCTCCTCCTCTCCTCTCCTCCCTCTCCAGGTCTCCTCCTGTCTTTTCTGTGTTACCCCTCCTCCTCCTCTTCCTCCCTCTCCAGGTCTCCTCCTGTCTTTATGTGTTAAACCCCTCCTCTCCTCCTCCTTTCCCCCTCTCCCGGTCTCCTCCTGTTCTTTACTGTGTTACCCCTAACCTCCTCCCCTTCCTCCCTCTCCAGGTCTCCTCTGTCTTTAAATGTGTACCCCTCCTCCTCCTCTTCCTCCCTCTCCAGGTCTCCTCCCGTCTTTACTGTGTTACCCTCCTCCTTCCCCCCTTCCTCCCTCTCCAGTCTCCCCCTGTCTTTACTGTGTTACCCCTCCTCCTCCTCCTCTTCCTCCCTCTCCAGGTCTCTCCTGTCTTTACTGTGTTACCCCTCTCCCCCCTCTTCCTCCCTCCCAGGTCTCCTCCTTGTCTTTACTGTGTTACCCCCCCCCCTCCTCTCCTCTTCCTCCCCCTCCAGGTCTCCTCCTGTCTTTACGTGTTACCCCCCCTCCTCCTCTTCCCCCCTCTCCAGGTCTCCTCCTGTCTTTACTGTTTTACTCCTCCTCCTCCTCTTCCTCCCTTCCAGGCTCCTCCTGTCTTTACTGTGTTACCCCCTCCTCCTCTCTTTCCCCCCTCCCCGGTCCCTCCTGTCTTTAAATGTGTTACCCCTCTCCTCCTCCTCTTCCTCCTCTCAGGTCTCCTCCTGTCTTTAATGTGTTACCCCCCCCTCCCCTCCTCTCTTCCTCCTCTCCAGGTCTCCTCCTGTCTTTACTGTTTACCCCTTTCCCCCTCCTCCTTTTCCTCCCTCTCCAGTTTTTCCTCCTGTCTTTACTGGTTACCCTCCTCCTCCTCTTCCTCCTCTCCAGTCTCCTCCTTTTTTACTGTGTTACCCCTCCTCCTCCTCCTCTTCCTCCTCTCCAGGTTCCTCCTGTCTTTACTGTGTTACCCCTCCTCCTCCTCCTCTCTTCCTCTCCAGGTCTCCTCCTGTCTTTACTGTGTTACCCCTCCTCCTCCTCTTCCTCCCTCTCCAGGTTCCCCCCTGTCTTTACTGTGTTACCCCTCCTCCTCCTCCTCCTCCCTCTCCAGGTCTCTCCTGTCTTTACTGTGTTACCCCCCCTCCTCCTCCTCCTCCTCCTCCTCTTCCTCCCCTCCAGGTCTCCTCCTGTCTTACTGTGTTACCCCTCTCCTCCTCCTCTCCTCCCTCTCCAGGTCTCCTCCTGTCTTTACTGTGTTACCCTCCTCCTCCTCTTCCTCCCTCCCAGGGCTCCTCCTGTCTTAATGTGTTACCCCTCCTCTCCTCTTCCTCCCCTCCAGGTCTCCTCCTGTCTTTACTGTGTTACCCTCCTCCTTCCTCCTCTTCCTCCCTCTCCAGGTCTCCTCCTGTCTTTACTGTGTTTTTACCCCTCCTCCTCTCCTCCTTCCTCCCTCTCCAGGTCTCCTCCTGTCTTTACTGTGTTACCCCTCCTCCTCCTCCTCTCCTCCTCTCTCCAGGTACTCCTCCTGTCTTTACTGTGTTAACTCCTCCTCCTCCTCCTCTTCCTCCCTCTCCAGGTCTCCTCCTGTCTTACTGTGTTACCCCCTCCCTCTCCTCTTCCTCACTCTCCAGGTCTCCTCCTGTTCTTTACTGTGTTACCCCCTCCTCCTCCTCCTCTTCCTCCCTCTCCAGGTCTCCTCCTGTCTTACTGTGTTTACTCCTCTCCTCCTCCTCTTCCTCCCTCTCCAGGTCTCCTCCTGTCTTTACTGTGTTACTCCTCCTCCTCCTCCTCTTCCTCCCTCTCCAGGTCTCCTCTCCTGTCTTTACGTGTTACCCCCTCCTCCTCCTCTTCCTCCCTCTCCAGGTCTCCGCCTGTCTTTACTGTGTTAACCCCTCCTCCTCCTCCTCTTCCTCCTCTCCAGGTCTCCTCCTGTCTTTACTGTGTTACCCCTCCTCCTCCTCCTCTTCCTCCCTCTCCAGGTCTCCTCCTGTCTTTACTGTGTTACCCCTCCTCCTCCTCCTCTTCCTCCCTCTCCAGGTCTCCTCCTGTCTTTACTGTGTTACCCCTCTCCTCCTCCTCTTCCTCCCTCTCCAGGTCTCCTCCTGTCTTTACTGTGTTACTCCCTCCTCCTCCTCTTCCTCCCTCTCCAGGTCTCCTCCTGTCTTTAACTGTGTTACCCCTCCTCCTCCTCCTCTCCTCCTCTCCAGTCTCCTCCTGTCTTTACTGGTTACTCCCCTCCTCTTTCCTCCCTCCAGGTCTCCTCCTGTACTTTACTGTGTTACCCCTCCTCCTCCCTCTTCCTCCCTCTCCAGGTCTCCTCCTGTCTTTACTGTGTTACCCCCCTCCTCCTCCTCCTCTTCCTCCCTCTCCAGGTCTCCTCCTGTCTTTACTGTGTTACCCCTCCTCCTCCTCCTCTTCCTCCCTCTCCAGTTCCTCCTGTCTTTTCTGTGTTACCCTCCCCTCCTCCCTCTTCCTCCCCCTCCAGGTCCCCCTCCTGGTCTTTACTGTGTTACCCCCCCTCCTCCTCCTCTTCCTCCCTTCCAGGTCTCCTCCTGTCTTTAAATGTGTTACCCCTCCTCCTCCTCCTCTTCCTCCCCTCTCCAGGTCTCCTCCTGTCTTTACTGTGTTACCCCTCCTCCTCCTCCTCTTCCTCCCTCTCCAGTCTCCTCCTGTCTTTACTGTGTTACCCCCTCCTCCATCCTCTTTCCTCCCCCTCGGTCTCCTCCTGTTCTTACTGTGTTACCCCCCTCCTCCTCCTCTTCCTCCCTCTCCAGGTCTCCTCCTGTCTTTACTGTGTTAACCCCTCCTCCTCCTTTCCTCCCTCTCCAGGTTCTCCTCCTGTCTTTTACTGTGTTACCCTCCCCCTCCTCCTCTTCCTCCCTCCAGGTCCCTCCCGTCTTTACTGTTTACCCCTCCTCCTCCCTTCCCCTCTCCAGGTCTCCTCCTGTCTTTACTGTGTTACCCCTCCTCCTCCTCCTCTTCCTCCCTCTCCAGGTCTCCTCCTGTCTTTACTGTGTTACCCCTCCTCCTCCTCCTCTTCCTCCCTCTCCAGGTCTCCTCCTGTCTTTACTGTGTTACCCCTCCTCCTCCTCCTCTTCCTCCCTCTCCAGGTCTCCCCTCTAGTGGTAGCTGGCAGGACCTAAAGGACCACATGCGCGAGGCAGGCGACGTGTGTTATGCTGACGTGTTCCGGGACGGTACCGGCGTGGTGGAGTTCGTACGCAAGGAGGACATGACCTACGCTGTCCGCAAGCTGGACAACACCAAGTTCCGCTCCCACGAGGTACGGCAATGGTTAGAGGTTTGGAACCCAAGGAATTAGACTCGTTAAGACTGGATCTGTGTCCCAAAGGGGCGGCAGGTAGCTTAGTGGTTAAGACTGGATCTGTGTCCCAAAGGGGCGGCAGGTAGCTTAGTGGTTAAGACTGGATCTGTGTCCCAAAGGGGCGGCAGGTAGCTTAGTGGTTAAGACTGGATCTGTGTCCCAAAGGGGCGGCAGGTAGCTTAGTGGTTAAGACTGGATCTGTGTCCCAAAGGGGCGGCAGGTAGCTTAGTGGTTAAGACTGGATCTGTGTCCCAAAGGGGCGGCAGGTAGCTTAGTGGTTAAGACTGGATCTGTGTATCTGGCTTATATGCCTATGATGGTCATGATGCTTCTTGACAGTGTCTTAAAGTGTATTTTCTACAAGTTATTTGAATTTTATGAAAAAACATGACTGTAAATAATTGATTGCAACAATAACAAAGGATTTAAGAAACACATTTTCAAATGAAAAGAAACTTCTTGGCAGGGGAAAAACTAATTTGAATAAATGTGGGTTTTGACACTTATGTAGGTGTCATAGCCAGCCGTAAAATGTTGCAATAATGTCACAAAAGGTGTAAATATATGACCATATTATGACACTGGGTGTCCATTAAAGTGTCTGGGCCGCCGTCTTTATGTAGTGCACTACCTGACCCCATTCTGGAACTTTGAAGGTTTCTTACATTGAATTCATAATGTTGCAACTCCGTCCCTCGGTTGTCATGCCATTGTTATGAACGTTCTCAAGCTGCCCTCCACCATAGTGTTGATGAGCCCAGTCGTTCTGAACGGGGATAATGACCGTTTAGTCTAAATCACACTATAGTGGCCTGGAAATACAATGACATCGCTAAAGTAGGCAAATATTTAGTAGGAAAAAATGGTGACGTCGTTATCATGTGTTCAAATTGACTTTAGACAGATGGCAATGTTGTCATTAGCTAGCAATGCTAACGTTAGCTAGCTAAAATCCAGTGGTCTCCCCTAAATCTGAGCTAGCTAGCTAACGTTAATGTTATACTCCATCTAAAGTCAATCTGGCAACATCAAAAATATTTTTCTACTATACTGAACAGAAATATAAACGCAACATTCAACAATTTCTATGATTTTACTGAGTTACAGCTCATATAAGGAAATCAGTCAATTGAAATAAATAAATTAGGCCCTAATCTATGGATTTCACATGACTGGGCAGGGGCGTAGCCATGGGTGGGCCTGGGAGGGCATAGGCCCACCCACTGGAGAGTCAGGCCCAGCCAATCAGTGAGTTTTTCCCCACGAAAGCGCTTTATTACAGACAGAATACTTCTCAGTTTTATCAGCTGTCCGGGTGGCTGGTCAGATGATCCCACAGGTGAAGAAGCCGGATGTGGACTTCCTGGGCTGGCGTTTCAGCTCCTGATGTGGACTTTCTGGGATCTTCCATTTCAGCTCCTGAAACATGGGACCAAGACTTTACATGTGGCGGTTATATTATGGTTCAGTGTTGTTATTTGCCTCATTGTGAAATGTTATTGTATTTCCAAGCCAATGTATAAAATCTTCATCAGCGCTCATTGATGACGCATTGAGTAGAATGCTCAGTTGGGCATCAGTCCTAAAACCAATGTTCAAAACTATATAGTGAGGAACTGTACAACCCATGAACAGGATCTCTATGGTCAGGATCCTATACACTGGGATGTGTCTCAGGCAACCTTCTCTCCCCTCTGTGTGTGTCTGATGTCCTGTGTGTGTGTGTTTGCATCATGTGTGTTTAGGGAGAGACGGCGTACGTGCGTGTGAAGGTGGACGGACCTCGCAGCCCTAGTTACGGACGCTCCCGCTCTCGTAGCCGTAGCAACGGGCGTAGCAACAGCCGCTCACGCAGCTTCTCACCGCCGCGACGCAGCAGGCCCTCTCCACGCTACTCGCCACGACACTCACGCTCACGCTCCCGCACCTAGACACACCTCCTGGACCCCCTGCCCCGCCCAGCGGACCCCAGCCCAGGGAGATCGATGTGAGATCATCAGACAGACTCCCTCCGGTGGACCTTCTAATGCGTTACATCATTCTGCTGTTCCTCTTGACTCGTCTTCCTCTTCTTGTTCTTTCATCCTCCTGTTTTTGGTTCAGTTTGCATCAGTTTGTTTGTTTTTTCATTTTCGTTTGATTGATGATCTCTGTTCTCTTTTTGTATCTCTTTCCCTCCTCTGTCTCCTGTCTCTTTACAGTCCTGCACTCCCATCTCTCCTCTCTCTGTGTCCCCCTCCCATCTCTCCTCTCTCTGTGTCCCCCTCCCATCTCTCCTCTCTCTGTGTCCCCCTCCCATCTCTCCTCTCTCTGTGTCCCCCTCCCCTCCCATCTCTCCTCTCTCTGTGTCCCCCTCCCGTCTCTCCTCTCTCTGTGTCCCCCTCCCATCTCTGTGAATGAAGGTCTTTATTTTCTTGGTGTAATGGCTGCTGGGAGAAAGGGAAGGTGTAATGCATTATGGAGGGATGGGGGTGGAAGAGGGAGTTTTTTAAACATTTTGTGTTGATGGTTTGATTGTGTTCTGATAGGCTTTTGGGACACAGGGACAGAGCCTGATTGGCTGGGAAACAGTTCATATTAGGATTAACAGGAGGAGGAGTCAAATAACCAGCCAATGCTATGACGACAGTAGTCTTTCACCCAATCAGTTTATTTTCATGATCCAGTTATTACTGTTAGTGTGTTTTAAAACTGCAGCCTGTACTTCACTGTACTGTAAACTCAATACACTAGTTTAGCTTTGCCACTTCCCTCTCTCATTCCTTATCCCCCTCTCTCTGTCCTTCCCTCTCTCCTTCCTTAGCCCCCTCTCTCTCTCTGTTTCCCTCTCTCATTCCTTATCCCCCCCCTCTCTGTCCTTCCCTCTCTCCTTCCTTAGCCCCCTCTCTCTGTCCTTCCCTCTCTCATTCCTTATCCCCCTCTCTCTCTCTCTCTCCTTCCTTCCCTCTCTCATTCCTTATCCCCCCCCTCTCTCTCTCTCTCTCCGTCCTTTCCTCTCTCATTCCTTAGCCCCCTCTCTCTCTCTCCGTCCTTCCCTCTCTCATTCCTTAGCCCCCTCTCTCTCTCTCTCCTTCCCTCCTCTATCATTCTCCGTCCCTTAGCCCCTCTCATTCCTTAGCCCCTCTCTACTCTCCCAGTCCTTCCCATCTCTCATTCCATTAGGCACCCGCTCTCTCTCTCTCTCGGCCTTCCCTCTCTCATTCCTTAGCCCCCTCTACTCTCTCCTCTCCTCCGTCCTTCCCTCTCTCATGCCTAGCCCCCTCTCTCTCTCTCCGTCCTTTCCCTCTTCTCATTCATTAGGCCCCCTCTCTCTCTCTCCGTCCTTCCCTCTCTCTCTCTCTCCGTCCTTCCCTCTCTCATTCCTTGGTCCCCCTCTCTTTCCTCTGATTCCTCCGCTGGTTTTCTATACGCTTGCTTCTCAGAGCATAGCATGCATGCCTCCTTTTCATCCAGACTGGTGTACCATTAGGTGACAGTTTTGTATCATTTATTTTGTAATATACTACAAAATAGTGTGTCTGTAGTGGCAGCATCACTGATTGGTTGGTTGTATTTTCTCTAGTCTTGGTTCAGAGTCAGAGAACTAGTTTTTTAATTCAGGCAAGTCTTTTTTTCATAGCTGATAGGCTGTTCTAGTGTGGCGTTTTCTGTATCAGGCGGAGTGATTCTAACCTGTTTCCCCTTCCCTTTCTCTGTTGGTTCTGGGATCTGTCTCAAGGAGGGCTGTGATTGGAGGAGGGCTCTCTTGTCTCCCCATCCCGGAGCCAATCAGACCATCAGCATCAGAGCAGGATTCAGGACTAGGATTAATGATGGAGAGAAAGAGAACCCGGATCGGGACCGGCCACAGCCCACTGTAACCTAGAAACTAGACCTAACTCAATTGGCTCTAAAACACAAAATACTTTTTTTTTAGCATTTTATTTCCCTGTGTGGAACCTCCAGCACCCGTCTGGGATCCAGCTGTAGTTGTTTTGGTTTAAAAGTGGAGCTCAAAGCTGAGAGCAAAACCAGGCATCTCAGGATGGAGCCGCGCGCGTAAGGAGAGTGGTAACTAGACCAGTCGATCTGGGAGGAGGGATGGAGGGATCTGGGAGGAGGGATGGAGGGATGGAGGCTCGCGTAAGGAGAGTGGTAACTAGACCAGTCGATCTGGGAGGAGGGATGGAGCGATCTGGGAGGAGGGATGGAGCGATCTGGGAGGAGGGATGGAGCGATCTGGGAGGAGGGATGGAGCGATCTGGGGGGAGGGATGGAGCGATCTGGGGGGAGGGATGGAGCGATCTGGGGGGGTGTGTAATGATAATACTTTTTTTTATTTTTTTAGGTTTGTGTTCTTTCCTCAGTAGGTTGAGGATGATGAGTGTTTCTCTAGTTGGTAACTTTTAATGTTTCAGCTTTTCCAATAAAGTCTGCCTTCTACAGTAGCAACAGTGTCTGTTACTCTGATTCCTCACCTAAAGTGTTTCTGATTCATCATGATTCATCACCTAAACAGTGTTTCTGATTCATCACCTAAACAGTGTTTGATTCATTTACATTTTAGTCATTTAGCAGACGCTCTTATCCAGAGTGACTTACAGTTAGTGAGTGCATACATCATTTTTTTTATTTTTCATACTGGCCCCCCGTGGGAATCGAACCCACAACCCTGGCGTTGCAAACCCCATGCTCTACCAACTGAGCTACATCCCTGCCGGCCATTCCCTCCCCTACCCTGGACGACGCTGGGCCATGGGTCTCCCGGTCGCGGCCGGCTACGACAGAGCCTGGATTCATCATGATTCATCACCTAAACAGTGTTTCTGATTCCTCACCTAAACAGTGTTTCTGATTCATCACCTAAACAGTGTTTCTGATTCCTCACCTAAACAGTGTTTCTGATTCCTCACCTAAACAGTGTTTCTGATTCATCACCTAAACAGTGTTTCTGATTCCTCATGATTCCTCACCTAAACAGTGTTTCTGATTCATCACCTAAACAGTGTTTCTGATTCCTCATGATTCCTCACCTAAACAGTGTTTCTGATTCATCACCTAAACAGTGTTTCTGATTCATCATGATTCCTCACCTAAACAGTGTTTCTGATTCATCACCTAAACAGTGTTTCTGATTCCTCATGATTCCTCACCTAAACAGTGTTTCTGATTCATCACCTAAACAGTGTTTCTGATTCCTCACCTAAACAGTGTTTCTGATTCCTCATGATTCCTCACCTAAACAGTGTTTCTGATTCATCATGATTCCTCACCTAAACAGTGTTTCTGATTCCTCACCTAAACAGTGTTTCTGATTCATCACCTAAACAGTGTTTCTGATTCGTCACCTGAAACAGTATTTCTCTGGTGTACAAGTCTGATGTATAATTCTACACCATTATAGTTTGTGTTTCTCCCACAGCAGAAGTCTCTGAAAGAATGAGTGGGTTCGTATCCCACTTTTGACACCATACAATGTTACACTAGCTTTGGTGAGCAAGGACAAGCATGTATTCATTCAGCCGTCTTTATTCCAAACTGAATCAACGTGACCACAGTTGGCAGTATAATCACATCATTACATATACATGAACACTGTTTGATTGATCCAGTAGCATACATCAGCTCCTGGCATACTCAACATCAACAACACAGGACAAACAACACTTCACTTATGTACAACATATCACAGGACATACTTCAAAGTTTATAACGACATATAGATGAATACTGTTAGTGTGGGGTTATGGTCTATAGTCTGCCTGTGTTAAGGAATCTGATGCTGGTTGGAATGACTTGCGTGCCCGGTTTGCTCTGCAGAGACCAGACATCCACTAGCTATACCATGTGGTATTATAGACCATACTGTAGAATCATAGACCATACATCCACTAGCTATACCATGTTGTATTATAGACCATACTGTAGAATCATAGACCATACATCCACTAGCTATACCATGTGGTATTATAGACCATACTGTAGAATCATAGACCAGACATCCACTAGCTATACCATGTTGTATTATAGACCAGACATCCACTAGCTATACCATGTGGTATTATAGACCATACTGTAGAATCATAGACCAGACATCCACTAGCTATACCATGTGGTATTATAGACCATACTGTAGAATCATAGAAAAGTATCTTCAGACAGACAGACAAGCCTTATCTATAAGTCTGTATCAGTCCTCTGTCTGTCCCCTCCTATCTACCTGTCTGTCTGTCTGTCTGTCTGTCTGTCCCCTCCTATCTACCTGTCTGTCTGTCCCCTCCTATCTACCTGTCTCTGTCTACCTGTCTGTCTGTCCCCTCCTATCTACCTGTCTGTCTGTCCCCTCCTATCTACCTGTCTGTCTGTCCCCTCCTATCTACCTGTCTGTCTGTCTGTCCCCTCCTATCTACCTGTCTGTCCCCTCCTATCTACCTGTCTGTCCCCTCCTATCTACCTGTCTGTCTGTCCCCTCCTATCTACCTGTCTGTCTGTCCCCTCCTATCTACCTGTCTGTCTGTCTGTCCCCTCCTATCTACCTGTCTGTCTGTCTGTCCCCTCCTATCTACCTGTCTGTCTGTCCCCTCCTATCTACCTGTCTGTCTGTCTGTCTGTCCCCTCCTATCTACCTGTCTGTCCCCTCCTATCTACCTGTCTGTCCCCTCCTATCTACCTGTCTGTCTGTCCCCTCCTATCTACCTGTCTGTCTGTCTGTCTGTCCCCTCCTATCTACCTGTCTGTCCCCTCCTATCTACCTGTCTGTCCCCTCCTATCTACCTGTCTGTCTGTCCCCTCCTATCTACCTGTCTGTCTGTCTGTCCCCTCCTATCTACCTGTCTGTCTGTCTGTCCCCTCCTATCTACCTGTCTGTCTGTCTGTCCCCTCCTATCTACCTGTCTGTCTGTCCCCTCCTATCTACCTGTCTGTCTGTCTGTCTGTCCCCTCCTATCTACCTGTCTGTCTGTCCCCTCCTATCTACCTGTCTGTCCCCTCCTATCTACCTGTCTGTCTGTCCCCTCCTATCTACCTGTCTGTCTGTCCCCTCCTATCTACCTGTCTGTCCCCTCCTATCTACCTGTCTGTCTGTCCCCTCCTATCTACCTGTCTGTCTGTCCCCTCCTATCTACCTGTCTGTCTGTCTGTCCCCTCCTGTCTGTCTGTCTGTCTACCTGTCTGTCTGTCCCCTCCTGTCTGTCTGTCCCCTCCTATCTACCTGTCTGTCTGTCTGTCCCCTCCTATCTACCTGTCTGTCCCCTCCTATCTACCTGTCTGTCTGTCTGTCCCCTCCTATCTACCTGTCTGTCTGTCCCCTCCTATCTACCTGTCTGTCCCCTCCTATCTACCTGTCTGTCTCACTGAGGTCTCTCTACCACCCTATTTTCCAGCTTATTATTATTATTATTATTATTATTATCATTATTGTATCAGTTCGGGATAAATCACCTTCATTCCCTTCTCTCACCGGGGCCACGGTGCACTCTGGGTGGAAACAAGATGCGGGCTGTGTCGCGCTAGTGGAAAATGCTCGCAGCACGCGGGAGGAGGCCACGGAACAGCCAATCAGATCGTCAATGCAGTGCAGGGGGGCGCGGTCGGTCAAAACGTGGCATGTAATTAACCGGTAAGCGCATATGAGAGAAGAACGGTCGGAACACAGAAACGACGCACAAAACACGCTCACACAACTGTGGTGAGAAAGACAGACGTCCAGAGAGAACTGCGCTGTTAAACGCGTTTACTGTTCATACGAGCAACAGCAGCCAGAGGGTGAGCGACGTTATATTTCTGTCTCTTCTGTTCTGCATGGAGCTGTTACATTTAAGGAATTTAGCAGATGCTCTTATCCAGAGCGACTTACAAATTGGTGCAATCAACTTATGATAGCCAATGGGACAACCACTTTTTTTCTTTTTTTTCATGGGTGGGGGGGTAGAAGGATTACTTTATACTATTCCAGGTATTCCTTAAAGAGGTAGGGTTTCAAGTGTCTCCGGAAGGTGGTGAGTGACTCCGCTGTCCTGGCGTCGTGGGGGAGCTTGTTCCACCATTGGGGTGCCAGAGCAGCGAATAGCTTTGACTGGGCTGAGTGGGAACTATGCTTCCGCAGAGGTAGGGGGGCCAGCAGGCCAGAGGTGGATGAACGCAATGCCCTCGTTTGGGTGTAGGGACTGATCAGAGCCTGAAGGTAAGGAGGTGCCGTTCCCCTCACAGCTCCGTAGGCAAGCACCATGGTATTGTAGTGGATGTGAGCTTCAACTGGAAGCCAGTGGAGTGTGCGGAGGAGCGGGGTGACATGAGAGAACTTGGGAAGGTTGAACACCAGACGGGCTGCAGCGTTCTGGATAAGTTGTAGGGGTTTAATGGCACAGGCAGGGAGCCCAGCCAACAGCGAGTTGCAGTAATCTAGACGGAAGCTGACAAGTGCCTGGATTAGGACCTGTGCCGCTTCCTGTGTAAGGCAGGGTCGTACTCTCCGAATGTTGTAGAGCATGAACCTACAGGATCGGGTCACCGCCTTGATGTTAGCGGAGAACGACAGGGTGTTGTCCAGGGTCACGCCAAGGCTCTTCACACTCTGGGAGGAGGACACAATGGAGTTGTTAACCGTGATGCCGAGGTTCAGCTTGAGGTGGTGATCCGACATCCACACTGATACAGTGGGGAGAACAAGTATTTGATACACTGCCGATTTTGCAGGTTTTCCTACTTACAAAGCATGTAGAGGTCTGTAATTTTTTATCATAGATACACTTCAACTGTGAGAGACGGAATCTAAAACAAAAATCCAGAAAATCACATTGTATGATTTTAAAGTAATTAATTTGCATTTTATTGCATGACATAAGTATTTGATCACCTACCAACCAGTAAGAATTCCGGCTCTCACAGACCTGTTCGTTTTTCATTAAGAAGCCCTCCTGTTCTCCACTCATTACCGGTATTAACTGCACCTGTTTGAACTCGTTACCTGTATAAAAGACACCTGTCCACACACTCAATCAAACAGACTCCAACCTCTCCACAATGGCCAAGACCAGAGATCTGTGTAAGGACATCAGGGATACAATTGTAGACCTGCACAAGGCTGGGATGGGCTACAGGACAATAGGCAAGCAGCTTGGTGAGAAGGCAACAACTGTTGCCGCAATTATTAGAAAATTGAAGAAGTTCAAGATGACGGTCAATCACCCTCGGTCTGGGGCTCCATGCAAGATCTCACCTCGTGGGGCATCAATGATCATGAGAAAGGTGAGGGATCAGCCCAGAACTACACAGCAGGACCTGGTCAATGACCTGAAGAGAGCTGGGACCACAGTCTCAAAGAAAACCATTAGTAACACACTACGCCGTCATGGATTAAAATCCTGCAGCGCACGCAAGCTCCCCCTGCTCAAGCCAGCGCACTCCAGGCCCGTCTGAAGTTTGCCAATGACCATCTGGATGATCCAGAGGAGGAATGGGAGAAGGTCATGTGGTCTGATGAGACAAAAATAGAGCTTTTTGGTCTAAACACCACTCGCCGTGTTTGGAGGAAGAAGAAGGATCAGTATAACCCCAAGAACACCATCCCAACCGTGAAGCGTGGCGGTGGAAACATCATTATTTGGGGATGCTTTTCTGCAAAGGGGACAGGACGACTGCACCGTATTGAGGGGAGGATGGATGGGGCCATGTATCGCGAGATCTTGGCCAACAACCTCCTTCCCTCAGTAAGAGCATTGAAGATGGGTCGTGGCTGGGTCTTCCAGCATGACAACGACCCAAAACACACAGCCAGGGCAACTAAGGAGTGGCTCCGTAAGAAGCATCTCAAGGTCCTGGAGTGGCCTAGCCAGTCTCCAGACCTGAACCCAATAGAACATCTTTGGAGGGAGCTGAAAGTCCGTATTGCCCAGCGACAGCCCCGAAACCTGAAGGATCTGGAGAAGGGTGATTGTGGAGGCCAGGCCATCTGATGCATCGCTGCAGAATTCTGTGGTAGCCATGCAGGTCAAGTGTGCCTTGAATTCTAAATAAAGCACCCCCACATCATAACACCACCACCTCCATGCTTTACGGTGGGAACCACACATGCAAAGATCATCCGTTCACCCACACCGCGTCTCACAACGACACAGCGGTTGGAACCAAAAATCTCCAATTTGGACTCCAGACCAAAGGACACATTTCCACCGGTCTAATGTCCATTGCTCGTGTTTCTTGGCCCAAGCAAGTCTCTTCTTCTTATTGGTGTCCTTTAGTAGTGGTTTCTTTGCAGCAATTCGACCATGAAGGCCTGATTCACACAGTCCCATCTGAACAGTTGATGTTGAGATGTATCTGTGACTTGAACTCTGTGAAGCATTTATTTGGGCTGCAATTTCTGAGGCTGGTAACACTAATGAACTTATCCTCTGCAGCAGAGGTAACTCTGGGTCTTCCATTCCTGTGGCGGTCCTCATGAGAGCCAGTTTCATCATAGCGCTTGATGATTTTTGCGACTGCACTTGTTTTGATGTATTTCTTTAAAAAATAACCTTTAGGCAAGCCAGTTAAGAACAAACTCTTATTTACAATGACGGCCTACCCCGGCCAAACCCAGACGACACTGGGCCAATTGTGCGCCGCCCTATGGGACTACCAATCACAGCCGGTTGTGATACAGCCTGGAATCGAACCAGGGTCTGTAGTGACGCCTCTAGCACTGCTTTCAAAGTTCTTGAAATGTTCCGTACTGACTGACCTTCATGTCTTAAAGTAATGATGGACTGTCGTTTCTCTTTGCTTATTTGAGCTGTTCTTGTGATAATATGGACTTGGTCTTTTACTAAATAGGGCTATCTTCTGTATACCCCCCTACCTTGTCACAACACAACTGATTGGCTCAAATGCATTAAGAAGGAAAGACATTCCACACATTAACTTTTAACAAGGTACACCTGTTAATTGAAATGCATTCCTGGTGACTACCTCATGAAGCTGGTTGAGAGAATGCCAAGATTCTCTATACTTGTTATGTCACAGTGGTTTAGATGGTCCAATGACTCTCTACACTTGTTGTTTTGTCACAAACTGAAATTAAGGGAACTATTAGAATTTTAGCAACCAGGAAATGGCGGCGCAATTTCTGCATAGTGCATCTTTAACTACCATTCCCCCCCCCCAGTCACCATGACCGACAGGAAGGCGGTCATAAAGAATGCGGACATGACAGAGGACATGCAGCAGGATGCTGTGGACTGTGCTACTCAGGCCATGGAGAAATACAACATTGAGAAGGACATCGCTGCTTACATCAAAAAGGTAGCTAACCAGACAGACCTCCTATAACCGGACAGACCTCCTATAACCGGACAGACCTCCTATAACCGGACAGACCTCCTATAACCGGACAGACCTCCTATAACCGGACAGACCTCCTATAACCGGACAGACCTCCTATAACCAGACAGACCTCCTATAACCAGACAGACCTCCTATAACCAGACAGACCTCCTATAACCAGACAGACCTCCTATAACCAGACAGACCTCCTATAACCAGACAGACCTCCTATAACCAGACAGACCTCCTATAACCAGACAGACCTCCTATAACCAGACAGACCTCCTATAACCGGTGTGTGTGTCCTTACCTATAACCAGTTACATTACATCAAGAAGGTAGCTAACCAGATATATATATATATAGATAGATAGATAGATATCCTATAACCAGCTTCTAAATGTCCTCTGTTCTGTTGTTTTGTTCCAGGAGTTTGACAAGAAGTACAACCCCACGTGGCATTGCATTGTGGGTAGAAACTTTGGCAGCTACGTGACACATGAAACCAAACACTTCATCTATTTCTACCTGGGCCAGGTGGCTATCCTGCTCTTCAAGTCTGGTTGAGCCCCTAACCCCTACACCCTAACTCCTACACCCTAACCCCTACACCCTAACCCCCTACCTATGGGCCAGGTGGCTATCCTGCTCTTCAAGTCTGGTTGAGCCCCTAACCCCTAACCCCTACACCCTAACCCCTACACCCTAACCCCTACACCCTAACCCCTACACCCTAACCCCTACACCCTAACCCCTACACCCTAACCCCTACACCCTAACCCCCTACCTCTGGGCCAGGTGGCTATCCTGCTCTTCAAGTCTGGTTGAGCCCCTAACCCCTACACCCTAACCCCTACACCCTAACCCCCTACCTCTGGGCCAGGTGGCTATCCTGCTCTTCAAGTCTGGTTTAACCCCTACACCCTAACCCTACACCCTAACCCCTACACCCCAACCCCTACACCCTAACCCCTACACCCTAACCCCTACACCCTAACCCCTACACCCCTACACCCTAACCCCTACACCCCTAACACCCTAACCCCTACACCCCTAACCCCTACACCCTAACCCCTACACCCTAACCCCTACACCCTAACCCCTACACCCTAACCCCCTACCTCTGGGCCAGGTGGCTATCCTGCTCTTCAAGTCTGGTTGAACCCTAACCCCTACACCCTAACCCCTACACCCTAACCTCTGCACTCTAACCCCTACACCCTAACCACCTTACTTCTACCTGGGCCATCCTCTGTCTCTCTCTGTCTCTCTCTCTCTCTCTCCACCACACCTCGCTCTCTCTCCACCACACCACACGCGCGCGCCCACCACACCACCCCACACGCGCGCGCGCCACCACCACCACACCACGCGCCACCACCACCACCACACCTCGCGCGTCCCACACACCACACACACCGCGCGCGCGCGCCAACCACCACCACACCGCGCGCGCGCCCACCACCACCACACCGCGCTCGCGCGCGCCCAACACACCACACCGCGCGCAGCGCGCACACCAACAACACCCGCCTCACACACCACACCACAACCGCGCGCGCCCCAACACACCACACTCCAGTCCGACAACCACCACACCACACCCGTCTCGCACCACCACCACACCCCGCCACACCACAACAACCGCGCGCCGCCACCAACACACCGCGCGCGCGCGCCCCACCCACCACACCTCGCCCGCTCAGCCACACACAAACACGACGCTCGCCGCCACCACCACACAGACTCCTCCGCACCACCACCACCACCCCGCGCCACCACCACAACACACTCCTCCCACACCTTACCACACCGCGCAGCGCGCGCGCACACACCACAACCCCTTCGCCCACCACCACCAAAACCGCGGGGGCGCCAACACACCCAACAACTCGCGTCCCACACACCACCAACCTCTCCATGTCTCGACACCACCAACAACACACTAGATCTCTCGCTCCACACCACCACCAACACCTCTCTCTCAACCACAACCAACACCAAACCTCTATCTCTCCTCCACCACCACCAACCAAATCTCTCCTCCACCACCACACCTCTCTCTCTATCTCTCACACACAACAACTTCTCCTCTTCCTCTCCACCACCACAAACACTCTCTCTGCTCTCTCTCCACCACCACACCTCTCTCTCTCCACCACCACCACACCTCTCTCTCTCTCCAACCACCACCACACCTCTCTCTCTCTCCACCACCACCACACCTCTCTCTCTCTCTCTCTCTCCACCACCACCACACCTCTCTCTCCACCACCACACCTCTCTCTCCACCACCACCACACCTCTCTCTCTCTCTCTCTCTCTCCACCACCACCACACCTCTCTCTCTCTCTCCACCACCACACCTCCCTCTCTCTCACCTTTCACTCTCTCTCTCGCTCTCTCTTTAATTTAAGGGCTTTATTGGCATGGGAAACATATGTTAACATTGCCAAAGCAAGTGAATTAGATAAACAAAAGTGAAATAAATATTAACAGTAAACATTACACTCCGAAGTTCCAAAAGAATAAAGACGTTTCAAATGTAATTATGTCTATATACAGTGTTGTACAAATGGGAAAATAAATAAACATAAATATGGGTTGTATTTACAATGGTGTTTGTTCTTCACTGGTTGCCCTTTTCTTGTGGCAACAGGTCACAAATCTTGCTGCTGTGATGGCACACTGTTGTATTTCACACAATAGATATGGGAGTTCTCTCCACACCACACCTCTCTCTCTCTCGCGCTCTCCCCACCACACCTCTCTCTCTCCCCACCACACCTCTCTCTCTCCCCACCGCACCTCTCTCGCTCTCTCACACCTCTCTCTCCCCACCACAACCCTCTCCCCACCCTCCCCCACCCCCCTCCACTGACAGGCGCTGCTCCTCACCTGGATTGTGATATACTGATGGCCGAGGCCACACACACGACTTCAAGAGTTGTAGATGATTCTCCATTCATGTGTCTGTGCGGTGCTGCATGGGCCGTCTACATGGTGTGTGTATATGTTGCAGGATAATAAACATGATGGGTTGTATCCCAAATGGCCCCCTATTCCCTATGTAGTGTACTACTTTAGACCAGAGCCCTATGACACCCTATTCCCTATGTAGTGTACTACTATTGACCAGAGCCCTATGACACCCTATTCCCTATGTAGTGTACTACTATTGACCAGAGCCCTATGACACCCTGTTCCCTATGTAGTGTACTACTTTAGACCAGAGCCCATTGACACCCTATTCCCTATGTAGTGTACTACTTTAGACCAGAGCCCTATGACACCCTATTCCCTATGTAGTGTACTACTATTGACCAGAGGCCTATGACACCCTGTTCCCTATGTAGTGTACTACTTTAGACCAGAGGCCTATGACACCCTATTCCCTATGTAGTGTACTACTTTAGACCAGATCCCAATGACACCCTATTCCCTATGTAGTGTACTACTATTGACCAGAGCCCTATGACACCCTATTCCCTATGTAGTGTACTACTATTGACCAGAGCCCTATGACACCCTGTTCCCTATGTAGTGTACTACTATTGACCAGAGCCCTATGACACCCTGTTCCCTATGTAGTGTACTACTATTGACCAGAGCCCTATGACACCCTATTCCCTATGTAGTGTACTACTTTAGACCAGAGCCCTATGACACCCTATTCCCTATATAGTGTACTACTTTAGACCAGAGCCCTATGACCCCCTATTCCCTATGTAGTGTACTACTATTGACCAGAGCCCTATGACACCCTGTTCCCTATGTAGTGTACTACTATTGACCAGAGCCCTATGACACCCTGTTCCCTATGTAGTGTACTACTATTGACCAGAGCCCTATGACACCCTGTTCCCTATGTAGTGTACTACTATTGACCAGAGCCCTATGACACCCTGTTCCCTATGTAGTGTACTACTATTGACCAGAGCCCAATGACACCCTGTTCCCTATGTAGTGTACTACTATTGACCAGAGCCATAGGGAATATGGTGCCATTTGAGACACAGTCGATGACTCCGTGTATATTTTACAGTGTGAAGGCCAACTCCATGAGAAGCATCTTTAAGATGACAGAGTAGAGATTTTGATGTTAAATATTTTCTATGACTTATTATTTGTTGCCCGATGTATAAAAAAATGCTTTGACTGTTGCTTCCATATGGTTCATAAAGAATGGTTCAACACTATATTTAAAAGGAACATGGACTAGTGATTTACTGGGGGCGTCATCTCATCATTGATGTCAAAGATATAGAACACTGATATTGCCTATGATTGTCTGTGGAGATTCAGGTCATCTCAGAAGCTGTGCCTGGGGTCAAGGATAAGAGCCAGGCAACTCATGATCCATCCTGTGGGTACACCAAAGCCTGTATCAAGAATTACAAACCATCTCTGGAGTCTTGATACGACGATGGGATATTAGATTCACCAGGGTTCACGTCGAGAGAGCGAGATGGCCCAAGTAGAAGTAAGGTGGTTAGGGTGTAGATCCCATAACAACTGAAATATCAACGTGTAGATAGGGCCTGTCTACTATCTCCCTGCCTGTCTACTATCTCCCTGCCTGTCTACTATCTCCCTGCCTGTCTACTATCTCCCTGCCTGTCTACTATCTCCCTGCCTGCCTACTATCTCCCTGCCTGCCTACTATCTCCCTGCCTGCCTACTATCTCCCTGCCTGCCTACTATCTCCCTGCCTGTCTACTATCTCCCTGCCTGTCTCATCAATGTTCCTTAAGCTCAAGTTACTGTTCCTGCCTGCCTTTCTGAACTGCCTCAACCCATCTGACGCTGTGGAACACTATCAACCATCAACTGACAGATCCCTACATTTGAAAGCGACAGATTCTTGTTCATAATAAAAAGTGCTCTATTTAAAATCGTATTATTATTAGATAGAAATAGTAACCAGTGCACTGGATATACATTTGTGAAAACTCTTCAAGATTGGATATGGTGGATTTACTAAAGCCACTTAAAATAGCCTATATAATACAGCTCTGGGTTTATTTTCTATGGGATAAGGGAACCACCACTCTTATTTCACTTTCTTAGAGTTACAGGACTAATGAAGATCATTTAATGTAGGTCGGCCGTGACCGGCCTCACACTCCATAACAGTAGGTGGCGGGTTATGCACCTTGAAAGTTGGATGCGATTCGCCAACCCAATCCCAAAGAAGAATAGGGAACCCACGCTTTGACCCCGGATGTGCCATTACAGCAGAGTTCTTCCTGAAAGATGGCTGCCAGAGCAACGTTGCCACCAGGCTCTAGTCCTCCGATGTCTTCCAGCCTCGCCGGTATTAACGATGGTCTCTCGGTAACGCTATCACCAGATGCGGTCCCGTTCACGCCGCTGGCTCCGGAGGTCCGGGAGGAGATCGGTTCCGTGGCGGCGCAGTTCTCCCACTACGCGTCCAAGCTCCGCTCACTGCGAGCCGGAGACCCAGCCAGCCTGAAAACACAACTCAACCTGCTGTTCGACCAACTGATATCTGAAAACTACAGCAGTAACTACAACATACCACCCGAGGTACAGTGGCTATGATGAAGCTATGGACATTTTAACTTTAAACTTAGCTAGATGTGAGCTTGCTAGCCACAACATCAATTTGGTGATCCAGAATATTAACGGTTTGCTTTGCAAGCTCACCAGCAATCAGGCATCAATCAACAATTACTATCATAGGCCTAGCTACGGGCGTTTGGTAAGTCAAATTAGCTTGAAATGGATAATTGACTTATGTAGCTTGCATTTGGAGTTTGTTAAGGAAGCTAAAGCAGAGGTTTCAAAACAGCCTGTTGAACTAAAGCCCGGGGCAACGTCCATGTCCGGTTGCAGGTGGTTCATGTGAATTTAGAAAATGCTTCATTATTACAATAAAATAAAAAATATTACTCTCTGAAGTAATCCATCTTGTCTATTTCAAATCTTCTCTCAATAGAGAGTAATAGTAATAGCACTAACTCCGACATGGTTCATCGGACAAAGCCTACGGTGAAATCAATAGTTTTTTGATAAACACCGAAAATAAGGTATGCGGTAAACCCAGGCTTAGGAGGTCTTAGAACAAAACCCATCTTCATCAGATAACGGCACTGTGAATTCTGAAGCATGTCATAAAAACAACTACATAAAGCACAAAGAAGCCTTCATAATTCATAAAGGTCATGTTACCTGACTGATATTATCTCATAGAACAAAACCTATGAGCTCTTACGCATGTCTTAACCTCAGCATTTATCCCAAAACCCAATTCTTTCCCCTTTCATTTCCCCCATTGTTATGATGAGTTTCTAGGGTATCAAGTAATTACGAATGTAAGGATGTACTTAGACCCTTTTGATGGGGAGTTCATACAGTATATTTAATATGGTACCATGGTTAGTTATAACAGACATAGCCCTGCCTCTTCCAACTTCCCAACTCCAGAACAAAGATCCACTCTCTCTATATATACCCTCTGTTACAAGCCTCTCTCTATATATACACTCTGATACAAGTCTCTCTCTATATATACACTCTGTTACAAGCCTCTCTGATATATATACATACACGTGTTTACAAGCCTCTCGCTATATATACACTCTGTACAAGCCTCTCTCTATATATAGACACGCTGTTACAGCCTCTCTCCTATATATACACTTCTGGTTGTACAAGCCTCGCTCTATCTATACACGCCTGTTTACAAGCCTCTCTCTATAGATCACTCGTTACAAGCCATCTCTCTATAATACCACTCTGGTTTCAAGCCTCTTCTCTTATATATATGACACCCTGGTACAAGTCTCTCTCTATATATACACTCTGTTACAAGGTCTCTCTCGTATATACAACTCTGCTTACACAAGAAGCCCTCTCTCTATATATCAAACTCTGTTTTACAAAGCCTCTCTCCTATATATACACTCTGTTAACAAAAGCCTCTCTCTATATATAAACTCTGTTTTACAAGCCTCTCTCTATATATACACTCTGTTAACCAGCCTCTCTCTAGAATATACACTCTTTTACAAGCCTCTCATCTATATAAGAATACACTCTGTACAAGTCTCTCTCTATATATATACACTCTTGTTACAATTCTCTCTCTATATATACACTCCTGTTTTACAAGTCTCTCTCTGTAAATATACACTCTGATACAGTCCCTCTCTATTATACACTCTGTACAAAGCCTTCTCTTCTATATATAACACTCTGTTACAACAAGCCCTCTCTCTATATATACACTCTGATACAAGTCTCTCTATATATACACTCTGTTACACACAAAGTCTCCTCCTATATATACACCTGTTTACAGTCTCTCCTCTATATATACCTCTGTTTACCAAACAAGCCCTCCTGCTATATATACACTACATCCGATACCGTCCCTCTCTATATATTACACTCTGATACAGCCTCGCTCTATATACACTCTGAATACAAGCCTCTCTCATATATACACTCTGTTACAAGTTCTCTCTCTATATATATACACTCTGTTACAAGTCTCTCTCCTATATAATACACTCTGTTACAGTCTCTCTCTATATTCACTCTGTTACCAAGTCTCTCTCTATATATACACTCTTGTTACAGAAGTTCTCTCTCTATATATACACTCTGTTACAAGTCTCTCTCTATATATAATAATAATAATAATAATAATGCCATTTAGCAGACGCTTTTTATATCCAAAGCGCCTTTACAGTCATGCGTGCATACATTTTTTTTGTGATAGGGTGGTCCCGGGGATCGAACCCACTACCTTGGCGTTTACAAAGCGCGTGCTCTACCCTGAGCTACAGAGGACCAGAATATACACTCTGTTTAACAAGCCTCGCTCTATATATACACTCTGTTACAAGTCCCTCCCCTCTCTATAATACCTTCGGTTACAAAGCCTCTCTCTATATATACACTCTGTTACAAGTCCTCTCTCCTCTATATTAACCCCTGTTTACAAGCCTCTCCTCTATATATTACACTCTGTTACAAATTCCTCTATAATATACAACTCTGTTACAAAGGCCTCTCTCTATATAGACACTCTGTACAAAGCCTCATCTCATATATACACTCTTGTTTACATAAACCAGCCTCTTCTCCTATATATACACTCTGTTACAAAGCCTCTCTCTATATATATACAACTCTGGTACAAAGTCCTCTCTCTATATATATACACTCTGTTACAAGTCCCTCTCTCTATATATACACCTGTTACAGTCTCTCTCTATATACACTCTGATCAAAGTCTCTCTATATATACACCTCTGTTACAATCCTCTCTCGATATATACAACACTCTGTTTACAAGCCTCTCTCCTATATTACACTCTGAAATACACGTCTCTCTATATATACACTCTGTTAACAGTCCTCTCTCTCTATATATACACTCTTGTTACAAGTCTCTCTCTTATATCCGTCTGGTTTACAAGCCTCTCGCTATATAGACACTTGATACAAGTCCTCTCTCTATATTACACTCCTTGATACAGCCCTCTCTTTATACACTCTGGATCAAGCCTCTCTTCTATATATAACACTCTGTTACAAGTCTCTCTCTATTATATACACTCTGTTCAAGCTCTCTCTATATATACACTCTTTTTACAAGTCTCTCTCTATATATACACTTCTGTTTACCAGTCTCTCTCTATATTCCACTCTGTTACAAGTCTCTCTCTAATATATACCTTCGTGGTTTACAAGTCCTCTCTCTAATATATAATAATATAAAATATATAATATGCCATTTTATCAGACGCTTTTCCAGCGACTTCAGTCTGCCGTTGCATACATTTTTTTGTGTATGGGTGGTCCCGGGGATCGAACCCACTACCACCTTGCGTTACAGCGCCGTGCTCTACCAGCTGAGCTAACAGAGGACCGAATATACACTTGTTTACAAAGCCTCTCATCTATATATACACTCTGTTACAAGCTCTCACAAGTCTCCTCCTATATCTAACTCGTACAACCTCTCTCTATATATACACTCCTGTTTTTACAAGTCTCTCTCGATATATAACCTCTGTTGTCCAAGCCCTCTCTCTATATTCCACTCTGTAAAGCTCTCTCTATAAATATACACTCTGTTTTACAAGTTCTCTCTCTCATATATTACACTTCTGTTTACAAAGCCTCTCCTCTATATCTACACTCTGTTTACAAGTCCTTCTCTCTATATATACACTCTGATACAAAGTCCTCTCTCTCTATATATAACACTTCTGTTACAAAAGTCCTCTCTCTCATATATACACTCTGTTACACGTCGCCTCTCTATATAATATACACTCTGTTTACAAGTTCTCTCTCTATATATACACTCCTGACAAGCCTCTCTCTATATATCAACTCTGTTCCAAGCCCTCTCTCCTAATATATACACTCTGGTACAA